CAGTTCATGTCTGCTCCTGTATCAAGAAGGGCCACTGTGCTTAAAGTAAAATCAGAAGAAACCTGAATATTAATGATAACATACCATTTTTGGGTAGTAATGGTAGATAAAAAACATAGAAAATCGTCATCAGTTAGCATTTCCTCTGTTTCTAAACTATTGGTTGCGTGAGGAGTTTCATCGAAAAAGTTTTCGGGGCTAGATGTTGATGGCTCTTCTAAAGGTTTGAGAGCTATTAAAGTTTGTAATATTTCATGATCACTATTTTGTAACTGTCGTAATTGTTGAATTTATTTCTTAACAATATCCAATTCCTTTTGGAAGTCAGGAAGAGAAGGATTGTGGGAATCATTATTACTATGTCGAGAAAGGATATCTTTGACACTATACGTCGAACCTATATATATATATATATATATATGGGTTTTATATATATAGTAAAGACTGGTATACTGCAGGAGTATAGTATACTCCACATGATCTAGCCGTTAGAGAAGAGTTTGTATATAATAAAATAATTAAAAATAAACGACAGTTAGAAGTTACTAAGTTTGTTAAAACAATATTGTATGTATACAATAACATTATATGAATCAACATAATAATAAAACGACAATCATTTGGAGCATTATCATCACCAACTAGGTGATTAATTTTATCTTTAGTATCAATAATAAACATAAATATTAGGGGTAAGACCACTGGAAATACCATCCTTTAGAGAAAGTGCCATTTATATTACATGCTTTCAATAAAACAGAAAAATATTCCAATCTATTAGGGGTTTATGCCATTTGTGTTACCCGAATTTATGTTGACCGTTAAAACTGACGGTTGACCTGACAGTGGCCCACTTTGTGTCCACGTAGGCGACACGTGGATGCTACGTTGGAAAAAAAACTTAAAAAATATTATTTATTATTCTATCAACCCTATTTTTAACCCCAACTCACCCTATCATTTTACAACATCAGGCCTCTATCCCCAAAGCCCCAACTCGACGGACGAACGGAGGTTCTTTCCTGCACCTTCATTCCAAACGACGACAGCGGCGGTGATTGTGCCAGCGAAGCTTTGGACGGCGGCGACGCTAGAGCTTAGAAAGGCGGTCGTGGTTGTACGTCTTTTGTAGTCGAGGTTTGAAAGGCGGCGGTGACGGTTTGCTGTTGAGGCGCCATAGAAGGAAAGACGAAGCAGGTCAGTTGAAGGGTGGAAGAGTGGTCATAACTAAGGGTAAGTAAGTCGAAATTAGTTTGATTACAACCCATTCCATAAGATTCAACTTTATTGAACGTATTTTTTTCAATTGTCGTGTGAATGAAACCCTAATTTTTTTATAAGAGTTGGTTTGGTGACCATCACAACCATGTCTGGGCGAAGATCTAACCACAGCAAAGCAGAATCAAGTTCAGCCAACTCATATGTAGTGAAGTGCAGATGCAATGTACCGGCTATTGTACATATATCTGGGACAGCAGGTAATCCAGGGAGAGAGTTTTACTGTTGTTCGTATTGGAAGAACAATGACAAGAGTTGTAGGTTTTTTCTATGGGTTGATCGTTTATCGTCGATGGACGACGATTCGAAGATGAAGCTCGTTGCTATGTTGGAAGAGAGATTGAAGGCAGTAGAAGCTAAGGCAGAACGAAGGAAGAAGGAAAAACAAGTGCTATATTCTGAGTTGGTCAAGACTAGGGATGAAAATGCAGGTTGACTACAGTTGTGTATGTTTTAGCAGCTTTACTGATCAGTGTTATTGGTTGTTGTTGTTGTTTGAAGTGAGCAAGCTATTATGAAATTGATGTTGTTTGTTGACATTGGAATGAAGTTCATTTTTAGTCGACGTTTGTTGCCAATGTTTGAATTTTCTATTGTAGTTGACATTGTATGAACTTTATGACTCAAGTTTTAGCATGATGTTTGTGCAATATAATAGAATGTAGTCCTGAAAAGATCATTGCAACCATAAAATACTTTGCATATATCTGATCTACTAGAGTCATAGTAATTAGCAAAAGCACATGATAGCTAATTAAGTTTGCTCTTCAAACTGGAAGAGGCTACTCCTAACAAAAGCATAGTGCTCTTCAAAGTGGAAGAGTCTACTTCTGACAAGGCAACATACATAGTGCCGTAAAAAAAGCATAAACAAGGTCAGTTGTTTCCTCACATAACAAGAGTCTACTCCTAACTTGGCAACACACATTCTGCCCTATACTTATAGAAAACACATGGCATTAATCTTGGGTTGCTGGTGGCTGGGAACCGCCTGCTTGGTCAATCATAGCAGCTCCTCCATTGCCTCTACCTCTAGTGCCTCTGCCTCTACCACCTCTTGCAGATCTGCCCCCACCTCCTGCATTCCTGCCCCTTGTAGCTCTTCCTGTTGCATGCATCTAATAACAACCGATAATCAATAGTCCGTCCTTGACATTTATGCGAAAAAACCCTCAAACAAACATTACCATTGCATTGACTTCATCATCCATAGCTGGATTCTTCCTTGGTCTGCCACGTGGGCGGCGTTCTTGCTATTGCTGCAGTTGGACAGTGTAAATAAAGAAGCTTGAATGACCAAAAAATGCAATTAAAGAACAAAGAGTTTACCTGAGGTGCAACTGGATTATGACATCCTCTTTTGTTGTGTCCTTCACCGCCACAGTTTTTACAATGCATGAGGATATTATTCCTCCGAATGGCTGTTCCTCCTCCTTCATGGGGTCGAGTGTCAAGCTCACCCGCCTCCTTCCGCCGATTCTTCTTAGGGCGACCCGGCATAATCCGAAACTTTGGAGGATACACAGGATACCCCTCTGCCGTAGGCCATGTCTGTCAGCAATCCAAAGTAGACAGCCCACTTTTGTAGGCTTTCTTGTACTCAGAAGCAAAATAGTACTTATGCACAAAAAGGCTGGGGTCTAGCCTCTTCCAAGCCAAAGCCGAGACAACATTTTCACATGGGACCCCAGTTAAACCCCAATAACCACAAGTGCAAGAAAATTCCTTCAAAGACACAACATAACCCTCGTCCCCACAAGATACTTCAAACTTATCTTCAAGTGAGGGCCTTGTCTGCCACATTTTAGCTAACTCCTTCCCCTTCTCAATCTTCTTTCTAATCCTAGGGCAGATTGTATCCTTAAGCTTCTCTAATTTTTTGTTCTTGTCCACTATCCTAGCCATAATTTTCTTGCGAATCCCTTCTAACATATCAATTATTCTGAGTTCTCGCTCCTCTACGATATCGGAATTGAAAGTCTCACATATGTTACTTTCTACAGCATCACACTTACAGTCATGAGACATGAATGCCTTACATAACTTCTCTGTTATTTTGAATAGCTTCCATTCTGCTTGTCATGGGTCGAAACGTTGCCAAGTTGGTTGCATAAACAGCACCCCAGTACAGATTTCGGAAGGTTTTCCCCCTGTGTTTTGGCTTCCAGTTTGCGAAAATGTGTCTCGCACTCTTCCTGTGGTGTGCATCCGGCATAATCCTTGCGAGAGTGATAACGATGTATTTGCACATGTTTGCACCCTTAGTTCTTATCCGTTTGCGGCTCGCAGTCGTGTATTTTTGGCCCGTTTTACGTTGGGTTGTGCTACTTTGTCATATTTCAGGTCCCAGACGTCGAAGGAAAGGCTAAGCACGAGATTCAGGGCATTTGGAGGTCATTCGGTCGAGCTGGGCGCAAAACACGGGCAGGAGGCCTGAAGAACACGGTCGTGTACACAAACGAGCACGCCAATGTTTTTATGTGCGAGATCTGAACTGATGGAAAAGCAAAACACGGGCTGGCCTAAAGAAGAACACGGCCGTGTTATTTATGCCGAGGCTTGATTGAAGGGAGCTCCTGCGATGTCCAAAACACGGGCGGAAGTGAAGCAAAGCACGACTGTGTCCATCTTTAGGCATGACCGTGTTTTGGCCGACGCAGGCGTGTTTTAACACGTGGCGAGGGCACGGACGGTCAAATGACAAACACGGCCGTGTCCTCGACCTTGTTTTGTCCAAAATCGGGTTTTTGAGGCAGATTCAAGCCAAAGGAAAGAGAGAGCTGGGTTTTGGTTCCCAAACACCCAAGGGACGAACCCTAGAGAGAGTGCGACTTGGGAACATTCTTGGAGCTATTTTGGAGGATTTCTTCGCCATTGGATCTCGAGAATCAAGCTTGGAGATGGAGATTGAAGATCTAGATCAGATTTCTGCAGTCTCTATCTTCTCTATGGAGTAACTTCCCTTCATTTAGGTTTTGAGGAACCCTAGTTCCATGTGTTAGGATCTTTCTTGTATGAAGTTTTGGATGCTATATTGTTTGATTATAATCGATTGAGGCATGATTTATAGAGTCAATTGAAGCCTGATCATCTTCTCTTGATTTCTGCTTTAACCTATGATAGATAGAATCTGATTAGGTTAAGAGAGCTTCCTTGATTGATAGTGGTGAATTGGTTGTGCAAGAATCAATCAATTCACTGCTTTGTACTGGAATTCATTCCAGTAGTGGAGATCTATGTGAATCGCCTTAGCAGTCTATCCCGGTGAAGTCTAGTCGCCTGCCGGGTATTCTGTCTAAGAGGGCTTGGTCAGCCTAAGAGATTCCAAGCTAATTTAGGATCTTTCGCAGTTTAATCAACAGTAGATCAACCAAAGGTAATTGCAACTTGGCCCTAATTGAGTAGCTAGGGGGAATCATACCTAAGTGAGTTCCCAACTTGTAATTAGTAGAGTAGTTTAGTAAATCAATCCTTAATCTAGTTTGCTAGATAATGAACTGAAGCTGAGTAATAGTAACTCTAGAGACCCGTGGATTCGATATTTATTACTTGTGCCACTATACTGCAGTCCCTTTTATTGGTTACACTTGGCCATTGTTAGGTGTTGTGTTTTAGCGTGTCAGAGAGCTTCTACAAGACCCTACATAAAATAAGACAATTAGCAGACTGCCAATAAGAACTAAATATGTGAAATAAAACAGAAAATTAAACCATACCTTCTGCTAGTCCCTCACAACAGTCCATCCTTTGCCATCTCCAGTCACCAACTCCTCTTGCAACACACTAATAAACCATCCCCATGAATCTAAGTTCTCCCCTTCTACAACTGCCCAAGCGATGGGATACATACGATTGTCCCCATCCTTGGCAACGACCGACAAAATCATCCCATTAACCTCGCCTTTCAGAAACGCTCCATCAAGAGAGAATATGGGTCGACACCCCTCAAGAAACCCTTTCCTGAGCACTGAGAAGCTCACATATAGCCTTTTGAATAGGACCCTATTTGCAATGGAACAAGGGTCCACTTCCAAAATAAAACGGCCTCTTGGATCAACACGCTTCAGCTCAGCAACATAAGGCCCCAACTTCTTATACTCCTCAATTAAAGAACCTCCCAATAGCCTCTTTGCATACAACCGCGCCCTATAACACTTCCTTTTGGACAATTTTACATTGTGAGTCTCCCGTATCTCCCTCTGCATATGTTTCACTTCCCAATTCGGGTTGATTTAAAACCTCCCAATGTAGCGCTTGGCAGCCCAAACAGCATTGGCCCCTTTCATTCTAAGGGCACGTGGGCAAGAGTGCCTCGACCCTACATTCTTCACCATGAAGCACTGTCGCCCTCCATGCCAACTTCCATACACATACCACCCACAGTTCTGCCTACACACTGCCCTCTTCTTCTTATCCGTACTGATGTTCCACTTGATATCAGCTCCTATCGAGATGCAATAATCAGACACAGCCTCTTTAAATTGCTCACCTGTCTCAAATTTCAGACCGGCCACGATATTCAGATGTGAAGGCTCCCCATGTGAATCGTAAATAACCCCATCGTCCTCATCATAGTTAAGGCTCGATGAGTGCCTGTATTGTGACTCCGGAACACTCCTCGAATTTTCTCCAGCCTCAACCTCTTCTGCAGATAGGAATCGAGCATCATGCTCCATTTGTTGAGCATGGGCAACAGGTTCTTCCACCCCATCTTCACGGTTTGTCACACTCTGGAAGCTAGACTCTTGCTCCACTTCTTCACCATCATCCTTGCAACTTGTCCGAACCTTCCTCTTACGCTCGTGCCTTCTCTTGTGGGCTCGTGCCTCGTGGAACTCATCGTTTGAGGTATGGATGTCTTCATCTTCCTCGTCGCTATCATCAACATGGACAATATCAGCTGCAATAGACTCTTCAGCCTCTTGATCTTCATCTCCCACCTCGATACCCCCTTCTTCAATCACTTCGTTGTCACCAACAAATCCTAACCCATCACTAACCTCAATAAATATCACAATCTGCCCATTTTGGATTAAAGGAATCAACCCATCCATCACCTCGGCATCAGAATGCAACTCGTGAACCCCGTGCTCCATGGTAGAATGTGGTGGCATGTACCACATTCGATCCACCCTCTCATAGTTCAAATAGACAACGCCAACTTGTAGGAGAGCACGTCAATGTCGATGTCAAATGGCTCTACACTCCCACCAAGGTATCGAGGTGTGCCTTGGGAGAAGTCCATCCAACCTCTATGGTTGAAAATAAGCTCAATCATCTCATTAGCCATCCTGCAATAAAATACAATATTTCATTTCATTTCCCAACCAAACTGTCGACAAAATTAAACAAGCAAACAGCTCCCCAACACAATCCGACTAAAATACAGCAAAGAACTACCTACAGCCGAAACATCAACTACTAGACAACGACAACACAACAATCCACAATCACTATTCTATCAAATTGTCCAAAAAACTAGACAAAGGAAGTAGCAAAAACCTGTTTTTCACTTAGCAGTAGGGCTAAAATATGTCATTAAGTGTTGATCCGGCCATTATTAAATAATGAATTACAAAAAGAAAGACTTGAAGTTTTATGGTAAGTTGATCAACATATAAATGATACATAAAGTGTTGATCCGGCCAAGATCTAGCTATCCACGCGCCTTTGGGTGCGCTCTTCATCCCTCTGCCATTCATCCAATCTTTTCCTCCTGTAAGAATGAAGCAACTAAGCATATGCAGCGAGCTAGCCGCCGCCAGCGAAAGATGGAACCAAACCGCAAAACTAATATGCTTGCGTTCTTCAACTTCCGGAAGCCTTACCCAATATCTGAGGGAGACGGCTACGAGTTCTGGTCGATGAAAGGCGGTGGTGACTAGATCTGGTCGGACAAAGACCACGCTTCAAAACTCAACGAGGGACGGAGACTTTGATCTGACAATGCTTTGAGGTATGAAGGAAACACAGATTTAATCCCCTTTCTCAACAGCGGAGACGGTCACCCACCAACTATTCCTTCCTCTCTTGCTAGAGCTGTGGGCAACCTTCCGTTTCCCTATTCCCCTGAATCTGATTTTTGTATACATGTTTCCGAACACTGATTTGATTTTCTTTCTCTAACTTGATTGAGATGTATTATTATGTTGCTATCTATGTGATTAGATCGCAGATCTATGAATTTGAGAGTTCGACTAGTTGAACATGTTATTCCCTTGAATTTGATATTTGCAGAGCAGGGCAAAATAGTGTAAGGGAAAGGTTCCAGTACAAGGATTCCTATATCTGTCTTTTGGATCTGGAGCCTGGAACATTGGCAGCATCGGATCGGGTTACAACTCTCGAATATGAATGCCGAAAGGCTTGGATTTGGTTTCCTTTCTATTGGAACCTTTGGCATGCCTATGGCCGCCTAAATGAGAATAATTCTCAATCATCCCTTCGAATCTGTTTCACTTCTTGTTGTTTCTGGCCTATTTGGCATGTGAAGAAGCGCACCTGTTCACTAATTTTTTGTATCTCCGGCGAGTGCAATATCGCAACCTTTGCTTGATTACTTCGTCTCGGGCCCCTGCAGATCAATGACGTTGAAGATCAATGGCGCCTGAGACATATTCAGTAACAGATAAAGATAGCATTTTAATTTCCCTTAACATGTGTTGGGGGAATTATTATATGAATAGATTAGAGCTTTCAATTCCCTCGTGACTGTCTGCGACACTCTGCAGTCTGCACCCTTTGTCTAGCCCATTGAATTTTCACATCACTGGTCTGTCCCCCAAGTCTTCCACTTTAGAAAGTTTACTATTGTTTATTGAAGCTATAGATTAGCCTTCAATTCCCTCGTGAGTGCCTGCTACTCTATACTCCTACGAATTACGATCAATCTCCTTAAAATTACCAGTGCATCCCATTCCATTTCCCTCTTTGAATTCCATCAGAGCAATAATAATTTTCCTCGACCCTACACAGGCCTGGCTGTTAAATGTAGTTTTCCATTCAATTTAATTCCCTCCTTATCATGTCCGGATAAGCCAGATATGGGTATGGAGGCATGCTTCCCTATAATATATATAGTTATTACTAGCTTTTTACCCGGCCTGTTGGCCGGAGAGATTTATTTTAAAATTTATATTAATTAACTTATTTATATTTTAAATCATTTTGTATATTCTAGATATTTTGTGTTCTCGATTCATAACAGAGTTTGTAGTATGTTTATATTGAAAATTTTCAATATTTAGCACATTCACTTGTGATGCTTTGGTTTTCTAACCATAAATTATATCGTTGTCACGTCCCATTTAGAGTTTATGTCAAATTTGTCAACCAAAACACTAATATTCAACGTACGACAACCTAAACTACACACACACATATAGTTCAAGCTAGCGTGCGCCAGGAGTACGTTATATTCTTCTATTTACACTACCATACGACCATTGAGTTTTACTATTTAGATCCCGAATGAACCATAATTTTTTTATTGGGCATGATATTATACCCTAACCTCTAATAGGTGAACTCCAGTCCCTAATTCTCTAACCTCTAATTTATGCACATACTTCGTCATACCTATCTTCTATCGTATCTTGAGTAAAATCAAAAGTGTAGTATACCTTGATATTATGTATATATATATACACCAAAGGTAAGATAACCTAAGGGTAAGCTGCCTCAATAGTGAAGGCTTGGGAGTTGCAGATCCCAGGTTCAAATCTAAGCGAAGTCCGTTGGTGTTCCCAAAGGTATAAGGCTGCTGGGGGCGAAGCCCTGTTGGTGTCGAATTGAATGCAGGTGGCCCCCAGGTTTAGTAGGACCCGCTGTCACAAAGTGGCACGTGGGGATGAGGTTCCTCGGTTATAAAAAAATATGCATGTATATATATATATATATATGTGTGTGTGTGTGTGTGTATGTGTAGTAGACTCAAAATTATCCAGATACTTCGTCAGACCTATCTTATCTCGCCTAATACTCATATTAAAGTGCTACTTGCCTATCCCCCACCCCCGGGATAGAGATCTCGCTTTTACCCCCATAACGTCAGACAACCATCGGGGTTGTCTATCGTTCAATATGTAATATATAAAGAAGCAAATCCTAAGGGATGACAGGATCATAGCTCGATATAGTTTTATTTTGTTCATCCTATCGGAGGTTATGTTATTTTTTGCTTTTTTGGGCTTCTTTTCATTCTTCTTTGGAACCTATGATCACAAGGGATTGAGATTTTAGGTCCTTTGGAAATTGAATACACATTCATGATCCTCGAGTTTGGTCGAACTCTCGACCAATGTTGTAAAGATTAGGACTTTTTAGTGAGAAATTCTTAGTAAAGATACTTCATTATTGGATCAATTTATTCATCCATATTGAAACTTGACACGCACCATAGCCCTCATGATGATTAAATTCTCTAATCTCGACTCATTTCCATTTTGGATGTTAGCTTTTTTATGAAGACGCTTAAATTTAGTATATTATACAATATGTATAAATCGTTAATTCTTGAAGTTTAGACTATACCTCAACCCGTGGTCATTGTTATGTTGACTTAGAATCTCAATCTAATACATTCACACACAGTATCGATGATTTTGGTCTTAACATGGTCGTTGAATGTGTAATTTTCAAATATTTTATCACGTATATTAATAATTGATAAAGAGTGTCTACAATACACACATATTTCAAGTGCAATTAAAATGTCTTATCATTTGAACAATATTGGTAGATTTCATTTGATTATTTGCATTAACTTATTATCTTATACAACATATATCAATTCGTGTTTCTCGAGTTTGGACGAACTGGCAACCAATTTTGAGAGTTGAGATTATTGGATAAAAATACTTGATTGTTTGTTAAATATGTTTATCCCAATTGACTATCTTACTAAAAATTGTCACCCTTTATTTTGTAAATGCCTACGGTGACATGCATGTCACGGTGACTTGCACTTTCCGGTCGACCTCAGTTAGGATTAGGTCGACCTCATATAGGATCTGGTCGACCTCATTTAGGATTCGGTCGACCTCATATAGGATCAGGTCGACCTAATCTGTTGTTTCAATGTAAAAACAGTTCACGGTGCATACATTGGATATTCATATCATACAATTGGCTAGATGGAAATTGAAGACTAATGACTTGTTTTGAAGTTGGAGTGTCCATCTACATATTGAAGTGATTGAGAGCTCGATAGGAACTCCAGAAGACCATTTTTGAACATCATCAAAAGGCTATGCCAAAACTGGGAAACTGCCTGGAAATGGCTAAGTCCGGAAACGTGTTTGTGAAGCCTATTTTGGAGCTCAATTCGAGAAGCATGAATGCGAGTTGAGTACAGGAGCCTCTACCACGTTAAATTAGGTATGTTTTTATACAAATTCAAGGCATTGGATGAAAGATTGGATATCTGCAAGGCTTCAAACAAAAGGGTCGAAGTTGCTACAAAGGCTATTTTTCTGGCAGACTTCGAGCACAAACAAGCTGCCAGAAAACAGCCTTTGTAGCAACTTCCCTTTTGTTTGAAGTCTTAAAGATATTAAATCTTTCATCTAATGCCTTGACTTTGTATAAACAAATACGTAATTTAACGTGGTAGAGGCCCCTGGACTTGACTCGCATCCATGCTTCTCAAATTGAGCTCCAAAGTAGGCTTGACAAACACGTTGCCAGACTTAGCCATTTTCAGGCAGTTTCTCAGTTTTGGCATAGCCTTTTGATCAGGTTCAAAAATGGTCTTCTGGACTTTCTATTGATCTCCCAAGTACTTTAATGTGTAGAGGGACACTTCAGCTTCAAAACAAGCCTTTAATCTCCAATTTCCATCTAGCCAATTGTAAGATATGAATCTCCAAAGTAGACACCATGAAACTGTTTTTACACTGAAACAACAGATTAGGTCGACCTAATCCTATATGAGGTCGACCGAAAAGTGCATGTCACCGTGACATGCATGTCACCGTAGCAAAGTCCTGATGTTTATCGTAGTCTCATCCTAGGGTATGAAGTCAAAGTTAGTCAACAATCATACTTAAGTCATTTTGAAAATTTTGATTTATAATTCTCGACGATAACTCCCACCTGAAAGAAAATTTCTTAGCTTACGACTTAGAACCTCAATAGTGCTTGCTCAATCAACATGAGATAGACCAAATATTATTAATGTGAATTTATGACACATTATAAAATTATTGCACATGTAATTCCTCTTCGTTGAGCCGTTTAAGATAGAACATGATCTGAATGAATAAGGAATCTTTTTAAATAAATAACTGTAATTACTCGATCAAGATTATACTATGACATTTTGCTAAATAATACTTGAATGTTTTTTTTATTTTCTCTCTTTTCATATATATATATTTTGTTTAATTGATAAAAATTTATTGTTTATGTGTATGTTTGTTTAATTTTTTTTATCAAAATGTAACTTATCATTCAATTTAGTAAAAATGAGTAGTAAATTTTCTTGATAAGGTTTAATCAGATATTTTTTATTTAAATGAATGTTATATATATCACTCTCTGTTTTCTTATTTATATCTTGTTTACTTGAAAAAATATTATTTATGTGTTTTTTATTAATTTTATTAACATGTAACTTATTATTAAAGAAAAAAAAATTGGATAAATAGAAAAGAATAATTGGATAAAAGAAATGAAATAATTAAAAAAGAGAGAGATAGCTCCATAAATACATTAATAACTAATTTTTTTGTTTGTAAAAAAATTGTCCAACTTGACAAATTGTGGATCCTCCATGTGCTTATGTGGCAATAAATTGCTTTTGAATTGCCATAATATATTTTATAGATAGATAGATAGATAGATAGATAGATAGATAAGCCAACGAATGATGGAGTTGGATAATATCCTTAATCACGCCGCGCAAGAATATTTTAACACTTGGTGGCGGAGAATTATGTACTATATGTACAACACGTACCAGATTCTACAAGTCGTTTGTTTACTGTGGAGAATCTGGAAATCCCGAAATACAGTAGTTTTCGAGTATACTCAACTACCGACATCCGTACTCGCTGCTCAATTCGCTCACCAAGTACAAGAATTCTCATCCGCCCATCCATTTGTTCCTCCTCCCCCACCACCAGTCTTCCCTTCAGTGCCTCCTTCCTGGTCTCCCTCTCCTCTTGGCCATCTCAAACTCAACTTCGACGCAACTGTCCATCACTTCCCGAGGTAGTTCTACAGGCTTGGTGTTGAAGTCTGCAGACGATCGTACACACTTAGCTTTTGGACTTCAACATCCTAGGATCGTCAACCCCTACCTAGCTGAACTTCTAGCCGCTCGAGATGGTTTAAACTTGATTCGTCACTTTGGCCTCCGTGAAGCCATACTGGAAGGGGACTCCGAAGTCGTCATTCGCCAGCTTCTCAGAGGGACAGAGTCAGATGTTGTTGGAGACCCGGTGCTCAGAGACTTTCGTCAGATGATCGCTACCCTAGACATAGGCTTAGAGGTTTGCGCGGTTCCTAGAACTGGCAATCGGGCTGCCCATAGTGTGGCAAGAAAAACCTTTTTCTCTATATAGTTTAGAGCTGCTTTCATTTAATTTTGTTTCTTTGGTGGGAGGGACTTATAGGGTTATCTAATTTTCATGTATTCTATTGGCATATCTCAGATTAAAAAAAAAAAAAGTGTTGATCCGGCCAACGGGCCGGGTATGAAGCTAGTGATAAAACAGGTCATTATTCTTCTAGCTCAACATCTTAAGATAAATCCAAATAAAATGTCATATCGAAAGTTGGAATGGAAGATATCAAAGATTTAATGATTACCCGATATGATCATGTCAGACAATGATAGGCAAAGGGAATTTTTAACAAGATGCCACTCCCGGGCGGCGCGGGATCACAGTCACAGCGCACGCAGATTTTGCCCGCTGTTGGTTGCCTCCCCCCTGCCCCTGGCTGTCTGCGTCGCCAACAAACGACGGCGACGTTATCGCTTCTCTTCCCTATACACATAAACTTGGCAATTCTTGTCCTCGACTCCTAGATTCATCAAATCGATCCAACCTTTCATTGAATTGTTATCATCGGAACAGAGAGCAGCGTGAGAAACTAAGGGCGAGGAGAACAACGAAGCTCTGCTCAGCGCAGCGTATCAATGCTTCGAGTCAGCTTGCATCGCCTCTCGCCATCCTCACTCTGCTCATATTCTCCGCGGTCTCTGCCCCCACGGAAGCAAACCTTCTCCTTCGCCAAATTGAGAAGCAGCGTGAGCGCGATGAGGGATTTCAGCACCTCCTCCGACCTCACCACCAAGCTCTTGTTTCGTCAGCTCTTCGAGAAGGACTCCTCCACTTACACTTATCTGCTCGCCGATGTTGGTCACCCTGATAGGCCTGCTCTGGTAACAAAACTGGGCTCTCTCGTTTCTTGTCTATCGTCTTTGGTTATGGTATTTTACACTTTTCTATTGTCAATTACACCTGAATGGTCGAGACAAACAAGAGAATTTAACCCAATTCCCTCCACATTTCAACAAATAGTGCATCCAATCCACCCATTAGGCCATTAAATTATTCCCCCTGGTGTAATTGTGAATTGTGATCGCAACCCATTAAATTATTTACCCTGGTGTAATCGTGATCGGATGATTTGGGTGTTTTCTGCTTCTTTGTCTTTCCTTGTTTACTTTTTCCGCTTTACCTTATTTATGGACCTACTTATTTGCTTATGGGAGAGGAGACTGGAACTGGGATCATCTGGAAAGGGAGTTGTGATAGTTGTCAGAGAGTTGAGAAGATGGCTTTGTACTAGCTCGTGCATCGCATGTGATGGGTACTGATGATGATCTTGGAGGTGCTTTGTTAGGAATTTGGGGGACGTGTAGTTTGCGCAGATGTAATTAGGATGTGGAATCTGCTGCACTTACTTGATAAAACAGTTTCATATACGTAAGTTATAGTCTACAGCTATGCTTTTAAACTTGGAATTGAAGTGGGGACTGTTTCTGGATTTTCTGGATTTGTTTCATCCGCACATGCCCGTCCTTCTACTTAAGTTGACCTGTCTTTCTCTTCTACAGCTGATTGACCCAGTAGACAAGACAGTAGATAGGGACATCTCCCTTGTAAAAGACTTGGGATTAAGGCTCATATACGCCATAAACACTCATGTCCATGCTGACCATGTAACTGGGACTGGGTTGCTGAAGGTTGGAACTTTTCCATGCTGGTTTCATTATTTGTCGATTATCAGTACCTTTCATTCCCCATATGTGGTGGCTATATATCCCTGACATTCCCCTGACCTCTCTAACCTTATTTTACAGACAAAGGTTCCTGGTGTAAAGTCTGTTATCTCAAAAGCAAGCAATTCCAAAGCTGATATGCACATCGAAGCAGGAGACAAGATCTACTTTGGAGATCTTTTCCTGGAGGTAAACCTGCTGCTGCATTTTTCTTTTGGACTTTAATTTGCTTGTTACCGGATAGAAGCGTTCAGGTAAGGTTATGACTCGCATTGACTAGTATCTAGTAAACTTTAAAAAACCAGTATCAGATTATTTGCAAGTTCTTCATAATCAAATTCAAAGGTCAGCTCTCTGGCTTTGGGAATTGTGCACTGCACTCAACATAAGTGGCATGGTTAATTTGTTTTTGCAGTACCTATCTAGCATCTGCTTATCTTCGATCTAGATACCTATCTGTGTGGAATTTTTGGCAGGTTAGAGCTACTCCTGGGCATACACAGGGCTGTGTTACCTATGTTACAGGAGATGGGCCTGACCAACCAAACCCAAGGATGGCATTCACTGGAGACACTTTGTTGATACGTGGATGTGGACGAACTGATTTTCAGGTGTCATTTTGGTCCACTTTGCTCTTAATAATAGTCTATTCATGTTGCTGTGCTTGGAATTATTTGGTTTGCATTGAATTGAAAGACACATTTATAGACTAGATTCAGCCTTATGCCAAATTATGTGCAGGGTGGGAGCTCAAGTCAACTCTACCATTCTGTGCATTCTGAGGCAAGAACATGGGACTACGAAAATGGGGTTCCAATTCTTCTTCAAAATGTTCAACATTTGTATTTCTCTTATTTACATTTGATTGGTTTCTATTGAACCAGATCTTCACCTTGCCCAAGGACACCTACATCTATCCTGCTCATGATTACAAGGGATTCACTGTATGCGACTATCTCCGAGGGATGTGATTAAAGCGACTGATTCAATAGGCTGTTCAATCCCAAACCCTTTTGTTTTGCAGGTCAGCACAGTTGGAGAGGAGATCCAGTATAATCCCCGGCTCACCAAAGACGAGGTAATCGTTATTAGCCCCATGTTCTGATACCACTTTAGAAATATAACAGCATAGTTATAACTAAAGTCATTAATAAGGTCTGTATCAGTAAAATGAATGAGTTGAGTCACATGATGCACTTGGTAAATGGAAGATCGTTTTATTTTCCTATCCATTAATCATTCAATTATCGAGTGCAATGGAATTATGATGAAACTAGCATAACCAAACTCTTGTTGGTAATATTTCGCACCCTAAAATTGGCGTCAGTTTTCTGGGAGTTCGAGCATCCAAATTGTCATTTGAAATTTGTCCACGTTGCTAGTTGTAAAACTTTTGACTCCCTGTGCCTAAGCTGTCTGCTTTACCTACCTTTTGGCAGGAAACATTCAAGAGCATCATGGAAAGTAAGAAATACTAAGCACTACTCATACATTCAGGACCACCACTAGCCAATTCAAGGGTCAAACCTAAGCATATTGAGCTATTCTGCAGATCTTAATCTTCCATACCCTAAGATGATCGATGTGGCTGTTCCTGCAAACATGGTATGCGGGTTGCAAGATGATTCTTCAGCAGAGCCTGTTGTCGCGACTTCTAAGTAAGCGGCACAGTCAGGTCTCAGATGCTCTTATTGTACCTCGTTGTATTACTCAAAAGGAAGAAGAATAATGGGGAAAGCTGTTGGTCAGTTCTGCTGCTGATACTACCTCCACAGTTCCAGATGTTGCAGGACTAGGGTTACTGTGTGAGCAAACGGACCAGGTAAATGCCTAGATGTCTTAAACGTAAGAGTGGATAAATAATGTTGTGGGAGTTTCTGTACGTTCCAAAACATAATATTTTGACATAATTGGAAATATTTAGCCGGGGAGTGGTTTCCCTTTCCATGGGAAACTGAAACGTTCATAGCTGCATGTACCGAGGGTCATTGGTTTGTGACTAGGACTGGAAGTTTGGTAACGATATTTGGGATATACCGAATACCGTACTGAATTTTCCTATATTTGGTATTATCGAATATACGTATTATTTCTTGGGATTGGGATTGGGATTCAATTGTTATTCAATATTAGAGATTACGGGATTGTGATCGGTATATACCGAAATATCGAACAATACCGAAATATAAGCTAATGTATATTTTATACTCTCAACTAAACTATCTCATTCACTACTACATGACCCTCAATCACTAATCTATTGTTATTTTCATAACACAAAAAAATAAACACTAGTATTAGTCTTCTCTCAGCCTCCAATTCATCAAATTAAAGATTACTAATGACAAAAACTTGAGATGTCACATCTCGTCCATTCTCCTTATCCATATCCTATCTCTAGCCAAACTCAATACTCTTTGCTTAATCTCTTTGTCCTATATTAAACAATCAAATCTAATTTATATATTTAATTATTAATTGCAAGGGTAATTAATTTCTTATTCGATAATATCGATTGGGATACCGAAGTACCGATTGGATACCAAAATATTTAGGGATTGAGATTGTGATTGAATTTAGGATATAATTCGGTATTCGGGATTTTGGTATTTGGTATTGAGATACCGATACCTTACTGATTTCCACTCCTATTTGTGATGATTCGTGTACTCCATGGGTTGTTCAGATGAAGATTTTTTTTCGTTTTATCTTAAGAGGTTTTTCAGGGATTTGGATCCAAACTGCTCATTTAAAACCCCAAGCAATACCCATAAAAAAAACCAAGCAATACATATGGGATTTGGACCAAAATCCTTGTTTGTTTATGGATATAGGTTTACAATACAAAACGCAAAACGACTAATAAAAAAAAAAATTCAATCTTTAGCGAGTGGGTCCTTTATATTAAGAAACTTTACTAAATACATTAAATTCCAATATATTGGGTATCTGCGTCGTTTGGGCCTGAGTTCAGGTCTTTAAACCTCCTTTCTTAAGAAGGATCTTAAAGCATTGTGATTGGCTGCTATGAGTTTAGGTAGTTAGGAAGGAGTTATTAGTTAATTAGTTGTTAAGGGTATGTAGGGAATTATAGATTATATAAAAGATCAAATAATTAACCCTAATAATCAAAACCACGACCCGTATATTTTTCTCCCTCCCAGTCGAACTGGTTCTCTCTTCACGTTGTCGTCAATCTCAAATTTCTGGTCGTCCCTTCTGTGGCGTCTCCCGATAGCCGTCTCTGTCGTCGGCTCCCCAACTCCTTTTCCGTTGTCACTCCATTCCAACGCTCACATACTCAAAAGGTAGTTTGTTTTGGTAGTTTAGGTTTTCGTTTGATACATGGTTTTAGGGGTTTTCTGTGCATGAATAGGGTTGGCAGCGTCGTCGGTAGGTTGCTGGTGGTTTACTCACGGCAGGCGTCACCCGCATAGTAGTCGTTCCCGTCCTCGCACTTGTCGATCCAAGCTCTCTCCTCGGCAACGTGAAGGTGACTTTGGTAACTTTGTTTCGGTAGTGCATGGGTTTGGGGTTTTCTTTGTGTGGGTTAGGGTTTCATGTAGAAAGGTAAATGGTTGTCCTATTATTAACGTTATTATTCAGCTTTTGTAATAATGTTAATGTTGATTTTATCAATTTGTTGCCTTTAATCAGTAACGTTCTAATTATTAATGTTTTCCCCCGGTTATTAACGTTTCTTTCGAGGGTATTAACATTTAAATTTTACATTATTAATCCATAACGTTCTCGTTATTAATCTTTTTCCCCAGTTATTAACGTTTCTTTCTAAGGTTTTAACATTTCACTTTTACATTATTAATCCGTAACGTTCTCGTTATTACTGTTTTCCCCAATTATTCACGTTTCTTTTGAGGGTATTAACATTTCACTTTTACATTATTAATCCGTAACGTTCTCGTTGGTAATGTTTTCCCCCTAGTTATTAACGTTTCTTTCGAGGGTATTAACATTCCACTTTTACATTATTAATCAATAACGTTTGCATTATTAACGTTTCTTCCGAGTTATTAAAACATTATTAACACGCAAATGTATTTCAACTTTAATTATTAAGAAATAATGTTGTTCGTATTAATCATCCCTTTTAAAGTGCGATTTGTATTGATCATTTTTCAAGCATGAGTTATTAATATATTTATATGTGATTTGTAAATTTTGCCAGTGGTCCACAAAATGGCGCGTACAAAGAACACAACGCGTAAGCCTGCATCGGTTAGTAAGACGATGGACAAGAAGAAGGCAACTTCCCTCAGAGTTGGTAACAATGTTATGAATGAATTATGGGCGACCACAACACTCGACGATATGTAATCAATAAATTATGCTTACAATTTCAATATTCAACCACGTTATCAACTCATATTGTTATAATTTATTAGTCGCCCACCCAATTCTTATTAATTACATAATTGCAATTATTAACAGGAATCTATATTGCTTTGACAATGTATATTTAAACTTTTCCCGATTCCTTATTAACATTTTCACACTATGTTATTAATAACGCTATTAAGTTCATCACGTTGTCAGCGCATACTACTATACATAATTAACCGGCCACACAACTATTATTAACATTTATTTGTCAATTCTTATTATTGACCACCGCTATTATCAACATTTCTTCACGACCACTATACTAACATCGGCAACGTTTTAACATGTTCAAATAAATCTTGTTATTAAAATCTTCACCACCATTCTCAACTCTTTGACATCCCTTATCAACATTTTAACATTAAGATATCAATATGGTTAACAAAACAATTCCGACTCCATACCAAACTCAAAAACCCAAAAACTAAGATTTCACCCGCCAATGATATATAATACAAATTTTTTTTTTTACAAAACTTCCATATTAAACTCAAAATCCGCCTCACGTTGCATGTCAATTGCGGTCGAACGTCACGCGTGCGGATGCTTCGGCGGAAAGCGAGAAGGCTGTGCCAGAGTCAGAGAGAAGCTTTGCTCGTCGGTGAACTGGCCTGTAGTGATACGCCTTGCAAAATTTATTATGTGTGTTCCTTTCAGGTGCGCCTTCCTTCCTCATGCCAAAGCCTTTATGATGTGCATACTCTTTATAAAACAACTCAGCATGGTCCCTAGACACAAACCGACGCTTTATCCATGTTCATTCATTTGCAGGATCAACCATATCCATTGCTACAGAAATATCAATGATTGGTTAATAATGATGCAACTTTTTGTTATTAGTAGAATAGTTATCAACCGAATGTACTCGCACTATCAATATTAATTCACATACATGTTAACAATATCAATTGATTTTTAAACAAAACGCCTACCTGTTGGATTAATAAAATCCCGATCAATTGCAAAGTCCATGACTGGTACAAAACAACCATCATTCGCATTGCCATCATCACCAACTCCTAATTCTCAAACATGGACAAACACCACACATCACGTCATCACGCGACAGAGTTTTTAACAATCTATATAAAAAACTCTACTAACCTTTCAACTACGCATTATCTAATGTAATTTCATCTTCGCTTCCGTTCACGTTTTTGCCACTATCTTGTTCGTCCAAGTTATCATCACAAGGTACTTCATTCATATCTGCAGCGTTGAATATGTACTACACTTTCTGCATTTTAACAAAATATTGTCCCACTTTCAATAATAATAAGCTACATTATTAACATTTTAACTTTCTTTATTATCATTTTAACCTACATTATTAACATTTTAACATATGATATTAACATTTTAACAAATTATTAGTTATACTTTCAATAATATAAATATATATTATTAACATTTTAACTTTCGTTATATAAATTTGATTTCGTTATAACTTACGTTATTAACATTTTAAACTACATTTTTTTATCATTCGGGCCTATGTTATTAACATTTTAACCCACGTAATTAAAAAAGAGCTTCTTCATTTTAACCTACGTTATTAACATTTTAAACTACGTTATTATCATTTTAACCAAGTTATTAACATTTTGTTCTCACTCTAACTCACATTACTAACATTTTATCATTCGTTACCTATCTTTTCCCTTACGTTATTAACATTTTAACCTACGTTATTATCATATGAACCCACGTTATTAACACTTTAACAAATAATTATTACACTTTCAACATGTATTAAACTATATTATTAACATTACAAATTCTTTCCTTTATTCTACGTTACTAACGTTTTAAGATACATTATTATCATTTTAACCTAAGTTATTAACATTTTGTTGTCATTCTAACGTACATTATTAACATTTTAAAATTTTAACATTTGTTATTTATCTTTATCCTTGCGTTATTAACATTATAAACAACGTTACTATCATCATCACCCAAAACAATTATTAACAAACGAGTTATCAACATTTTAAAACACAAATATTTACCAAATAAAAGGGCTTTCGGTTAGTCCATCATGCCGAGCACGAGAAGCTTGAGGCCGACGATGAGAAGCTGGTGGCCGACGTCGACGAAAATCTGACGAGAAAATGGCGAGCAGGCAGCCGTGACGACGGGTTTTCAGAAGGAACGCCAACGTGATCGCGACTTGACGACGACGAGATTGCAGAAGAGGCAGCTGTGACTTGACGACGACGTGACGCTGTCGTGGCGCACTGGCTTCGACGCTGGGATTGTACACGGAACGCGCGTGCTAGCCGACGACGGGTTTACTGCCGTGGCTATGAGGGAAACGGCGGTTTTAGGGTTCGGAGGAGACCAATTTTTCATAAATGAATTTTCAATAGTGTGGATTCTACAGTTTTCTTTTTAATTATTAATAACATTAAATTTTTATTATATTCCATTCTTACCCTTTTAGGTAATTAGCTAATTATTACTAATGTTTTTCTCTCCCCTTCTCCTATTGGCTGGAGATGGTTTAAGATTTTTCTTAAGGATTAGGCCTTAAGGACCTGATCTAACCCGGCGTCATTTGTGCTACACAAATTTCTATTGACTATTAGAACTAACGATGATTAATCTTTGTTCGATCATTGATGAAATGACGCCTATGTGTTGCCCACATATGTAACACGTAGACACCGTTTAGGAAAATAATATTTAACATTTAAATTAATTTTTAATTGGAATATTTAATTAAATTATATATATATATATATATATAATTTTTAATTCATTTTTTATCTAGAGATGGCAAAAATATCCGGAATTGTGGATATCTGCCTAAATCCAACCTAATTGGGTAGGTAAAACCCTAATCCGAAGGATTTTTAGTGGGTACGGATGAAGCCCGAATCCAAATATTGCGTGTAATGGGTGTGCATGGTTTTCGTACTATCCAACCCGAACCCAACCTATAATGCACATGAATATGTATTTTGTCTAGAAATTATTATTATTTTCTCAACATATTTTATATTATGCATAATGAGATAATATTTTTATGAAATCGTGTTGTTTTTAATTAATTTTCTTCATTCTAGTAATTTATTGTCATGCTTTTTCTTTTGTGTAAAGTATACGTGTGAATGTTAAAATGTTAGTTAGAGTTATAAAGAAATATTATTCTCCATTGATAACCGTGGATACCCGAAACCCGAATGAGTAGGACATAGTTTTGATTTTTTATTACCCGATTCTTATATGGGTTTGGGTACGGGTAGAAACTCGAACTACTTTCCCGATCACCGCCACTGCCATCATCTTTTGTTCCATCGTTCTGCCGCTCGCTTTGGCTTATTCCTCATGCATAGGCAAGTTCGAGGTCTGGGCGGCGTGGGCTCTGTTACCTCTCCATGCAAGCAAATACCAAAACAACATAACAAGCAGAGAGAGATAAAATGGAGGGAAAGGGTGAAACGAAGCACCTGGAAGGGGATAAGAGTGATGGAATGGAATCGTTGCTGGTCTGCCCCTGAGGCAACATATTTTACTCGAATCTCGTCGTCTCCACAAACAAAGACTGCAGCTTTCGCGACTTGGACCTCAGCCCCGGCTCCTCCAAAACGCGATATGCCTATTAATCAAAGAGTCGAGCATTCATCGACGGAAGATCTCGTAGAAGCCAACCGAATCAAGCAATCGACCATCAAAGCCATCACTTGCTCAGCCGCTTCTTGGCTGCCTACGATCTGGGCAACTCGAATTTCTCATCATCCATTGTCGTCGCCGTCTTTCCAGTTCACTATCCTCACCATCCTCGCTTCCAACCGCCGCCATCATTTGTCTCCGTCGATGCCGCCTCCTGGAGGAAGTTGGAGAAATCCCTCGTCATGCTTGGCCTCAGAATCTCTATCGCTTTCCCCTTCGAATGATAAAGATTTAGAAGACGAATAACAATAAAATAGTATGGAGAGAGAAATACACAAGAAAAATGGGGAAAAGAGCTTTCTTATTCATGTATTTCTTAGTACAAGAAAATGCTCTATTTATAATCACACATCACATAACCTTTACATTTTTACAATCAATGTACATGAATGTGAGGTAATGAGTAATGAAAGGGAATTTGAAAATGAGGTGAGGAGTTACAAGTAACACCTAATAGTGCAAATAATGTATGCATTTACTATGATCAATGATAGGGTGGGCAACACGAAACAAGTATTCAGGTATACTCATACCCGTCCCATTTTTTAGGGTTTCGGGTACCCAAATACCTGTAAATTTTTTATGGGATGGGACTTGGGATCAAAAAGTTCTACAATGGATACCCATGGGTTATCCGTTAATACCCATTTGAGTATTACGGGTAGCGTACTACTCGCCCATAACCCAACCCCATAAAGTATTGGGCAAATACCACCACAGCACCCGAACTATCGAGAAAATGCCATGTGTGTCCTATTTTATTCAATATTTCATTTGTGTCCTGAACTATTTTTCTGTTAGCGTTAATATTTAACGGAAAATCAAGTTAGCATTGACGTGGGTATGACATGTAATTTTTAATTTCAATATTTATTATTTTTCTAAAAAATGAATAAAAAGGGAAAACAAAAAAACCCTTTCTCCCATCTCTGCATCGCACCCACTCGACGCCACCGGCTGAGCTTCAATCCTCTCCCTGCGCCTTTCTACTTACGTCGTCGGCCAAGAGATGTCGCTTGCCTCGTTTGAAAATTCCCCTCTATGCCGCCCTTCTCTATTTCTCATCTAGTTGCCGTCATCCCAAACAATCATCTCCACCGTCAAAGTCTCAGCCATGGCCAACCCTAACGACCCAAAATCTATGTTATCCCTCCACTAGTTTTCCTCCTCGACTTGAACCCAGAACCCAGAATCTCTTTTGTAACATCCCATTTCGACTAAACTCGTATTACGGTCATTAGAAAATTTACGATTTAAAATCGAGTGTTTTGATAGTATTTCGACGAAAATCGGATTATCGATCGAATGAATAAGTCTTCACTGGGATAGAAAGCTGAAGCAATAAGCACAGAACTCCACTACTGGACTTGGATTCCAGTACAAAGCAGTAGACTGACTAACTCTCGTATAGCCAATCTACTACTATCGAATGATGAAGCTCTAACAACCTAATCATATTCTATCTATCTCAGGTTGCAGCAGAAATCAAGAAAAGCTGATCAGACTCCAATTAATTCAATGAAACATGCATCATTCGATTAAAACCAAACAGTATAATCATCCCAAGTCATTACAATCATGATCCCTAACACATGGAACTAGGGTTCTTCATACCCAAGTGAGAGAAGGGTTCTACTCCATAGAGAGAGAGGAAAACTGAAATCAGAGTAGTCATACTCATAAAGACGAGGAAAATCTGCTCTGGGATGTCAATCTTCACTCCTGGGGACGCAATCTGGGCTTCAATGGTGAGAAATCCACTCCAAATAGCTCCTAGGGTTTGTTCTTCGCCCTTTCTCTCTCTAAAACTCTGTTTTTGCTCTAAAAGTCGATTTTCTCTCATTTGGCTCGAATTTGGGTTAAAACCTAGAAAATCCCGATCACACGGGCAGGCCACACGACCGTGTGGCTTTCCCAGGCTGCCCGTGTGAGTGTGCAAAATGCAGAGTTTCGATTAAGTGACTTCAACCATCCCACACGGCCACAAGGGGTCCCCTACACGGCCGTGTGACTTTTAGGCATGCCCATGTGGCTTCTCAGCTTCTCGCCAAACGTCCAAACTTTGTCCAATCGACTCCGAACTCGTTCCCAAACCTTCATTCACGTACTAGGACCTGAAATATCACAAACAAGCACAACCTAGCGTGAAATCGGCCTAAAACACAAGAATCAACATCTCAAACGGCTCGAGAATAGGGGTAAAAAAATATGCAATTAACGATCTATCATATACATATTAATTTTACATATATATTATTAATTAATTAATATAAAAAACAATAAGCGGCCGAGCCGCATATATATAAACCTTTTCCCCTCGTTCATTTATTTCCAGCATCATCTTCCTTTTCTCATTTCCGGACCGAGAGCACAGAGCGAGCGGAGGAGTTAAGGGGACGCGAGGGAGAAATTTCCAAAGCTCAATTCTTGAGCTCTACTGATCCAAAAATCCTAAAATTCACCTAGACATCGTGATTTATCGATTTAGAGCTTTAAACTGAGTTTTTGGTTCAGGAATTTCTTGAATTCCCGATAAACCAAATTAGGGTTTCGGAGTATCCGGAAGCCGGATTGAACCCAAATTTCATATAGGAGCTTCCTGCAGCGAGGTAATTAATCCTCAAGTTCTAATCCATGAATTTCGGTAATTATTTAGGTTGGGGTTCAAATCGCTGAATTTAGCTCCGGGTAAGGGTTGATGTGTTTTTATTGAGAATTTCACCCAGAGCCTAGAACTAACATTGACGGGGATACTGCAGGGGATATTAGAGCAAACTCGGATTTTGATTCCGGGCTTGTTTGAGAAAAGTGAAGTTGTGGTATGGAAGGCTAGAAGCGGTGTTTGAACTACCGGAATTGGTGAGGGATTAGCACGGCATACCGGGTTTATCGTATCACGATAATTATATTGACGCTTAGAATTGACTAAGTGAACTAGAATGACATGATTAGGGGTGTATGAAGTTTTGTGCTATATGTTGAATCCTGAACTACTGTATGATATTATTGACTTGCCCTAATTGATATGGACCTTGTTTATGTTGATGATTGCATACATGTTGCTATTTGTGGCTTAACTGTTGATATGACTTCATGGTTGTTCGATCAGGTGTTTTGACATGATGTGATATTGTGGTTGTATTTGGATTCACAAGTGGGGGGAAATAAACTTCCCATGGTGATATTATGATGTTTTAAGGAGGATGACTTGCATGAGGGTTTATTGATAACGATGTAATTGCACGAATTTGCGCCCCTAGTTCTTATCCGTTTGAGGGGCATAGTCGTGTATTTTTGGCCTATTTACGCCGGGTTGTGCTATTTTGTCATATTTCAGGTCCCAGGCGTCAAAGGAAAGGCTAAGCACGAGTTTCGGGGCATTCGGAAGTCATTTTGGTGAGCTGGAGCCAAAACACGGGCACACCTAAAACAGAACACAGCCGTGTTCTGTGACCGTGCTTTTACTGCCGAGAGCTAATTCGAGTTTGGACCACATTGGCCAAAACACGGGCAGGGCTGAGATAGAACACGGGCGTGCTTCACCAAAGCACGGCCGTGTTCTCCCAAAGCACGGGCGTGTTCTACCAAAGCACGGGCGTGTTCTCCCAAAGCACGGTCGTGTTTGCACCAACACAATGGTCGTATAATTAACCCTAGCCAAAGCACGGGCGGGCTGAGGCAAAGCACGGCCGTGCCCTTGACCGTGCTTTGGCCACTGATGCCTTTTTAAGCAGATTTTCAGCCAAACAGAAGGGGATTCGAGTTTTAGAGAGAGAGATCAGTTCCTAGAGAGAGAAAGCGATGAACAAGAGTCTCCAAGTGCCCTAGATTGATCTTCAACACCATTGGAGGCCAGTTTGAGCTTGGAGAAGTGCCGATCAACGTCCAGAAGCAGGAATCCATCCTTCACAGTATGAATTCCGCGTATGATTCTGCTTTTGCTTCTTTCTCCATGGAGTAGTTCTCCCATTCATCTGGGTATGGAGAACCCTAGATTTGTATGTTAGGCTTTGATTGTATGAACCCAAGTACTGATTCTATGATTTGATTATATTCGATTGAGGTTTGAATGATTGAATGACTTGAATCCTGATCAAATTCCTGTTGTTTCTGCTTTGACCTAGAATGAGAATATCTGCCTAGGTTGATAGAGCATCCTTGATTGAAGGTAGGGAGTTGGTGACTTTAGTCGAGGAGCCAAATCACTATTCTGTACCGGATTTACTCCGGTAGTGGAGGTTTTGTTCATAGGGCCTCAATCTATTTACTCCGGTGGAGGTTAGTCGCCCGCTAGAGACTCAGATTGAGAGGGTCTGAAGACCTTTAGTCGAGACTTTAGGCTGTCTAAGACCCTTCCGCAGTATAACTATCATAGAAACTGAACTTGGTAATCACAATCCGGCTTAACTACAGTCTAGGGGGAACCATATCCAGGTGACCTCTCTTAACCTGAATACAACCGTTTACTTGATTTGTTAGTTTGTTAGTTTAGACTTGCATTCCAGTTTCATTGCTAGATAACAAGAATTCACTGAGTAGTCATCAGATCTAGGACCCGGGTTGACATATAAACCTAACCCGCTATACTACGCTTTAGGAAGTGGTTTCACTTGGCCAATTCCTAGGGTGACAGTAGAAGTGAGTCAAGTTTTTGGCGCCGTTGCCGGGGACGGCTAGGTTGTTGAAGAAAAGTGATTTCTGTTAATTTAGTTTTTCTTTTTGCTTTGTCCCACTTGTGACTTCACGGGTTTGCTTGCTTGAGTGTGTGCAGGTAGTGCATGACCCGTAGCCAGTCAGGAGGTTTACTCCCGTTGAATCCAGAGATTGACCGCACCTGTCGCCAACTCAGGAGACAACAGCAAGCTAGACTGGCTACGGACGAGCACCTAGACGGCCACTTGAGTAGCGATTCTGAAGAAGAGTACGGGATGGACGGAGACTACAATCAGCACCAGGGGAATCCTCAGCAGGCTCCCCCGGTGAATCAGGTCCTGGGGAACAACCCCATACCCCAGGATCATGGAGTTCATCATCCATTGCAGCCGGGCCCCACCTTGGAGTACTACTACACTCCTCGGATTGCTGACATCCGCCCGGTCATCCTCTACCCGCCTATTCCAGCAAATAACTTCGAGATCAAGCCATGTTGGATTTAGCTCATCACATCCTCTATCAAGTTCCATGGCTTGAAGGATGAGGAGGCCAGGGTGCATCTTTCCCGTTTTCTGCAGCTGACGAACGGGTTCAAGCTGAATGGTGTCCCGGATGATGCCATCCGCCTTCATCTCTTCCCTCATTCTCTGGCGGGGAATGCTAAGAGGTGGTTGGAGACCCAGCCCCCATTGTCCATCACCTCTTGGGATGATCTGGCTGACAAGTTCGTGCACAGGTACTATCCGGCATCGAAGACTACAGAGATCCAGCGGGAGATCACTCACTTCCGCCAAGAGCCAGATGAGTCACTTCGTGATGCTTGGGAGCGGTACATGGGCTATTTCTGGCAGTGTCCCCATCATGGCTTCAATGATGCATTCACAGTGGGGAACTTCTACAGTGCCCTCTCTCCGGATAGCCAGAGGGTGAATGAGTCTCTATGCCCAGGAGGGGATATTCTTACTAAGACTCCACCCGAGCTGAACCAGATGATCAGTACTTTGGCTGCCAGAGATCATTCTTGGGGACAGGGTAGCCGAGGCAGACAGTCCCGAGACCGTGGTGTGCACGCCATGGAGACCAGATCCGGGCTCGAGCAGCAGGTAGCTGAGCTAGTGCAGACATTGAAGCAGCCCAACAGTCTTATTCCGGGCAGAGGTTTGGCTACACCTCCAGTAGCTCAATGTCAGTGGTGTGAGAGCTCCAATCACCTAATGGAGGACTGCCAGGCTATGAGGGAGTCTACCACTCCCCAAGAGCAGGTGGACTTCATCGCCAATGCTCGGCGCCTCGACCCGTACAGCAACACATATAATGAGGGGTGGCGCCAGCATCCCAACTTCTCTTGGGGCAGTAACACCACCAAGCCACCTGGTTTCCCAGCACCAGCTGGTGGCTTTCAGCAGAGGCAGCCCTTCCAGGCTCGACAGGGGCCAGCCCCACAGTAGCAGCCCTACCAGCCTAGGCAGGGGCAACCATTCCAGCAGCCCCAGCGCCAGTTTGCCGAGCCAGCAGCAGCTCCGGCCCCAGATGACCGGATGACAAAGCTGGAAAATATTCTAGCTTCATTCATGACTAGCACTCAGGCAGCTATCACATCACTAGAGGCAGGTCAGAGGAACCATGGTGCCATCTTGCAAGATCTGCAGCACCAGGTGGGTATCTTGGCCCGTCAAAACACTACCAGGGCACCGGGGACTCTGCCCGCCACCACTATCCCGAATCCTCGGGATCCTCACCAGCTCCAGCAGCTGGATGCCATTTTTACCAGGAGCGGTAAGACCATATCTGCTGATCCTGTCCCGGCCAGACAGGAGGAACCACTACCTCCTTCAGCACTTCCAGCCGACGATGCATAAGTGTGGGTGGAGAAGGAAGCCCCTACTCCCAAGCCACAACCAGTGGTTAAGGAGCGTGTGCCCCAGCTTCCCTTCCCCACTCGCCTACACAAAGACAAGCTGGAGACTGAGTTTGCCAAGTTTATGGCAATGTTGAAGCAGCTCAACATCAGCATACCATTCGTGGAGGCACTGTCGAAGATGCCCAAGTATGCCAAGTTCATGAAAGACCTCCTCACTGACAAGAAGAAACTTGGGGATCTTTCGACAGTGATGCTGAGCGAGGAGTGTTCTGCTATCCTGCAGAACAAGCTTCCCGAGAAGCGCAAGGATCCAGGGAGTTTTACTATCCCTCTTACTATTGGCAGCATGCATGTAGGCAAGTCCTTGGCGGACCTAGGCGCTAGCATAAATGTCATGCCATATAAGTTGTATAAAAAGCTAGACCTAGGTGAACTTAGCCCTACTAGGATGAGCATTCAGCTAGCTGATCGTTCCATTGTGCATCCTAGGGGAATCATAGAGGATCTGCTTGTCAAGGTCGGTGCATTCACATATCCTGTTGATTTTGTTATTCTTGATATACATGAGGATGTGGATGTGCCTTTGATTTTGGGTAGACCATTTCTTGCCACCGCCAAGGCACTTATTGATGTGCATGATGGTAAACTGATCTTGCGTGCTGGGAATGAACATGCTACTTTTTCTGTGACTGAATTTGATCACTGT